GTCAGCCGGTATTGCAACTTATACATGCATGTGCCGGCGCGCTCGGATCTGCCATTGCTTGCAGTGGTATGCAGGGGCGCGACACGGCTATTGAATAAAATCCAGTCTCGGCTATGGAAAAATGGCCGCGGTTTGGCGCAGTCTCAGTGGCGACAGATGAGATGCTGACGGCGGTGGGCGGTGGCTGAGGGCCTCTCATCACTCCGTCCCCCGTCTCCTGAGGGGACGTCTCCAGTGAGGGGAGTCTCCAGTGACGGGACTCTGACGCGTCTGATGTGCTGCCATCGACCCTGAGCGCACAAATTAAACGCCGTTTCAATCAAGAACAAAGGACGCCTGTCATTAGGCCGGTATGTTTCAGCTAGGAGCGCCGGCGTGCGGCGGCGGCGATGGCGGTTGCCCATCCGTTTGCCTGTCCGTCCGTCCGCCCGTCCGTCCGGCCCACAGGCGGTTGGCACGTGACAGCCGAAGGGGACTGTCACACCGCATGACTGATGACCCCTGCTGTAATAAAATCGCCGTCTTAGCTACGGATTTACCGCCCCATATCACCACTGAAGGGCAGTGTTCGCCGCAATACCAATCATATCCGAGCGAAGGGATATGAATACCAATGCTGATTCAAAGCCACAGCTCTGCCGCCGCGAGCAGGGAACTCCTGCAATTACACCACGAACGTCCAGCCACAGCCGGCGAGTTAGACACGGTCTCCCCAACCAAGATGGTATCGCCCGAGCGTCCAGCTGTCAGGTTCGCCTTCACGCCGACTGCGCAGCGCGGAGCGAGCTCCAGGGCCGGCCTTCGGCGCCTCCGGCCCGGCGCGCGCACGGACGCCACAAAACGGGTACCGCCACCGGCGCCGGCTGGTGAGGGAGCCCGTCCCTCCGTTCGTCCGTCCGTCCAGCCGCCGCGCCGGTTCGTCCGCCCGCCTGGCCGGTCGGCCGGTCGGCCGGGTCCGTAGCTCGTCTGTCTGCATACGGACGGACGCCGACCGGTCGGCGCGGTCGGTGCCGAGGCGGCGCGGCATTCACCGGCCTAATTATTGTTTACGTTGCAAAGCGATCCGCCCCGCTTCATATCTACGCCTCACGATGGCGGTGAGGGTTGGAAGACAGACGCGTCCACAGACCGAAAGACGGACGGAATAGGCGAGAACGCCCAACGTCGAGCGGCTTACGTCTGCTACACATGACCACGAACTTTATCGTTGCGCCGGCATTGTGGTTCAGGTCGTGGTCTACTTGAAGCGTCATAACCTGCCTCACTACACGCCATTACTGGGCACTTCAAGCACCTGTCGAAGTACAGTGAGCGATCCCATCGCCGGCCGTGGGAAGGACGCGCCCCGTGCGCCGGTGACCGGGCCGAACTCGAGGTCATCGGCTGGTATGTGACGCGCTAAGTGGCCTGAAGACGGGCCATCATCGTTACGGCCGTGAAGTCAGCCTGGGACGGGGCGGCGGAAGGAGGGAGGGAGGGGAGACTCTCAGCGCCCGGAATAAGGGCCGCTCTGCACTGAGCCGCGTGCCGCTAACTGCCACGCTCTATCGCCGGGGTCGATTTATGGAGCGTTTGTTCGCTGTCGATTACTGCCTGGACTTACATCAAATTAGGGGGAGAGAGGAACACCGATTTCAGAGGACAAAGAATGAGAGAAGGACGGCGCGTGATGAACAAAGTTGAGGAAATTCCGCGCACAATGAATAGAAGATGAATAAGAGATGAAAGTTCCGGCCAAAAGCGGCGTCGTGCGCTAATTAATGTGCAGATCTATCAGCCCGATACCGTCTCCACCTCAATTACAGGAGACAAATGGCTTGAAAATGTGGCGTTCAAGGACAAAACATCGATTACCTATTGCAACTGCGCCGACACCTGTTCATTTTCATCTAAAACTCATTAATAATTACGTCTTATTCATACTAGTCAGCACTGATATTGTACCGACCGTTTGAGCTGATCTTTAAGCTCTCAACTAAAACTCTTAACAGGCGCAAGAAATGTTACGAGGCTGAACACAACCTGAACAGGAATTGCCTAGATAAGATTGACCATAATGGTGTCAGCCGGGCAAGCCTCCCGCTGATTGGGGTTCACTCTCGCTTCTCTTCTTGTCGCCCACGTGCCAGTGCAGTGGTAGCCGATTAGCCCAGGCAGCCCCTGGTCGCTCAGCGCCGCCTGGCCCGGTGCTGCCATCTGTCGAGCCCGGTTCAAAGCTGCTGCCGGCTGCTTCAGCTCAAACCACCCCTGCTCGGTTCACTCAGCTCCATGGTTTGTCCGATCGTTCATAATTCAATAATTACCCTCAGTCAAATAACTAGGACAAAGCAAGTTCACTTGTAGGCTGTGAGCACCGTCGTATTGTATTGTATTGTATTGTATTGACACTTGAAAACTCATCCATCATAACATGGCTATTCTAGAGTTCGAGTCAGATGAAGGGACGTGATGAACAATCATTCAAAAACTACACAGACGTACGAGTAGGTACACACACTTCATAACACTTGTTGTCTAAAAGTGGCCCAGGTGCTTTTTTACATGTACCTTAAAAGCACCCGGTGTCTTTAGTTTAATGGCCGCTGGCAGCTCGTTAAAAGTAGACACAGCCCGGTAGCGAAATCGCCTCCTGCCGGACTCGGATCGTATGCGAGGGAGGGAGAGGTTCGCAATTCGCATCCTGCCGCGTGCTCCGCTCTCTCCTCTGCCCCACCGAGACCAGCCCTTCGGCAATGTCGAGAGGTTCGCCGGTCACCATAATACGCTTGAGAAGGCACAGAGTGTGGTACATTGCCAACTCGCGCGCTGGAAGCCAGGCTAGATCGGTGAGCGCATCACTTATATGGTTGTGCTTACGCCGTCCCGTAATCACTCTTGCACCGAAATTGATCACCTTTTGCACTCTGGACATATTCGTAGCGGTTGCAGTGCCATACACACTGATACAATATCTAATTGTTGACAGCACCAGTGCGTTGATGATGGTAGACAGTGTCTCATTCGGTAGCCTATGCCTAGCGTGACTCAGGCCTATGAGGAGACCAGTACATCGGCCGACCAGCTGGTCAATATGTAGCTCATAGGAGAGCGTGCGGTCGATTGTCAGACCTAGGTTTTTAACCCGATCGGTCTCGTGAATGGTGCATCCGTTCAAGGTGAGTGATATGGGTGGCATGTTGCGTAGCATCTGGCGTGAGCCAAGCGTGATAAGCTGTGTTTTGCCGGAATTTATCTTCATGGAGTTCTGCACGAACCATTGACTAAGGGTGTTGAGTGCAGTCTCCATGCGGCGAATGAGTGATGCCATCTCATTCTTTTTGCCAGTAACAAGTAGCTGGGTGTCATCAGCGTACTGTGTGATTGTCTCAATGGGAAGAGACGAGTGGTCGCCGAATGGATACCGTTTTTGCTCCCTTTTGCGGTTACCTTTCCATTGAGAGGGAGAGCAAAAAATAGAGGTCTTCGAGAGTAGTCTTATAGGGAAGCATGTGATTTTCTGTACTTAGAATAGTGCATCAAACGGTTAAGAGGCACTTGTTCGCGATATATTGATCTCGACAAAATGAGGTCTTCCAAAGACTAGCTATTCCGTCTGTCACAACTTTCACAGGTATTTCGGCGGAAAATGTTACAACCTTGTAGGCACCCATTCATCCCAGAAAAAAGACAGAAAGCCAAAATAGCGACACATATGGGTCCACGATTACAAATCATATGTCTAGCCTTTAAATCAGGATTCGTCGGGACAGGTTCAATGCTGAACGCTTTGAAACATTGGACTGATTCACGAATGGCATTCAGTGATGCATCTGATTCTCAGTACGGATGTACCCGTCTAACTCCGTAACAACGCATCCACGGTGCATCAGAAATATCCCAGGCGCAGCCCATTCTTGGGTTAAGTTCAGGAAGTTACTCACCTCCCTGCTAAAAAATGTGCCCACAAAAGCCACTGTCTGGTTGCCTCGACCATTTGGCATGTGCTGTTGCAGCCCTTGTGATAACCACACTTAGTAGAAAAACGACACAACAATGTTCTTTGCACCTGAGGCGCTCCCTCGTCGCACGTGTGGCAAATGCAGCTCAGCATGTAGCGCAGTGGCTGTCGCGGTTTTCCACGGAATGACATCGCTTTGTCAAATCGCCTCTCGACCCGACACGTTGCATGCTGTGGCAGCGGCTGTCGTCATTAAGACATTCCTCAGAGCTAGGAAAACCGACGACATATCGATAAGCATTAATTATGGCTGTAAATATAGGGAAATGTGGCTGGTATTTGCTGTGTGGACATATGAATGTTTATCGATAGTCACGCTCATGAAGAATTTGTTCTAGTTTAGTCTGATTCAAAAGAAAAAAGGCAGCAGTTGCGACACCCTTTCTGTTGTAATCAGGCCAATGACACATAGCTACCGTATCACCCATAGCTTCAGAGATCGTTCCAACGCAGTCGTTCTGCATTCGAGCGCTGCTGCCATAGCTGCTGCGCTTTCACCCGACACCTAGCGGGAAGACGACGAACCAGTAGTTCGGTCGAGAAGCGTCGGCAGCACCTTACGAGAGCTTCTACCGAACAGGGTCTATGCAATTGTATAGCATTTGGCATGGTTCGGTGGTCCATGCCACTAATATTAATTCGCATCTTGTGTTGCTTACGAGCGAGCGAGCGCAGCGAGCGAAGCGATTCTTTTCAATATAACGGTAGTTATCAGTCAGTTATTGCCTACAGATGACCAATCTAAAGGGAGAAAGGAAGGCTGGACTTTCAATAGATGGACGAGGGCATGCCCTAGGATAGGCACGGCACATGCCCTGAAACTGACACTCTCGAATACGAGATTGGCTGATAGCATCCTGCATGATTACCTAGTCACGGCATGGGCAAACCTGAAACCCTTACAGCAGCTCGCAATGGGAGCTGGCTGGCTTTCAAAAAAGCTGGGTAGCTGATCGTAGAGTCAATTCACGTCAACGTTTGTCTCTGGAGCGTTGGTACTTACCGGTAAGCTGAGCAGAGTATCGAGCGTGTGTTTGGCGGCGCCTCTCCGCAGCTTGCAGAACTCAACAAACTCCTCGTCCGTTGTCTGCTTCTCACGGAGAAGCCTGGGGAAAAACAGCAAACGTTACAGTGTAAACATAGCACATATATAAAATCATCAATACTATAACCGTGTCACCAAAAGTGCACAGTTCATTTAATTGCGTAGACATCTTAGACGCATTCAAACTCATGGTATTGGAAGAAAAAACAAAAAGTTATATATTAAAAGAGATACATTAAGCTACTTTTTCACTTTGTATGAAAAAAAAAACATTTAACCCATAAACACAAATAAGTCGTCCATATCCGTTTACTGTCTCGTCATAAGATAACTTCAGTTTTTTTATCATGATAGAAAGGTTTTGGCAAAAAAAGAGCAATTGTGTCATTAATCACAAAACACCGATCTTTTCAACTTAAATCGTCAAATGTTACTTGCAGGAGGACTTTACCATGAATTAAACGAAAAGCGATACACTTCGCCTTCATACGTAGCTAAAACAGATTTCAAAGCTTTAGAATTTCTGCCTACGGCTGAAAAATATTCAAACATTTTTAACCTTAGCCTATACAATGATACATCAATTAATGGCGAAAGTTGGGACTGGACGATTGGAAGCGTCACACTTTACCGTGAGTGTGTTTCTCACGGCTAACTACTCGGGAATTAGGAATGGGAATGGTAACTTTCGTTTGAAGTTCCCAGTGACTGTGGATAATTTGTGGCGTCAGTGGTATCCATTACAGACTCCGGTGAATCGTATTGTGTGGGAGGGGAACTCATAGAGATCTTATATACATTATGTATATATATACATTATGATATATACATGTATATATATATGTATATATATACATTATGTATATATATACATTATGTATATATATACATATGTATATATCTTATATACATATTATGTATATAAGATCTCTATGGGGGAACTTGCGCCGATTTGTACAACCTACAGGCTTGACGCTATGTGTAAGCGGGTAAGTAGGCTTGAAAGTGGCGTTTGTAACTGGTGCAGTGGATTACTTATCGATGAGATGACTCACTGAACGTTCACTATAACAGCCAACCATGTCCCACCCCAAAAATGATAACAAAAAGGCAATAGTCTAGATATCGATTAGTCATGGTGCTCGAGTCTATGGACACGGTGAACTATGGCTATACTTACTCTCTGGCCCGAGAGTAGAACTCCTTGTAGTCTTCATACTGAGTCAAGAGCTGTTTGGAAAACAGACCACCTGAAAAACAGTAAACAATGTTATTTCGCGAATGAAAATTCAATATACAAGAAAAACGCACAAGACAAGAGCACAAAAAAATGTCTGACAACGCTTACAACGCAGGCCATTGCGCGTAACAATCCAAGCGTATATGGGAATATTGGGCATCACTTGCTAGGACTGATGAATAATACTTGCAGTTTCGACGATTTATTTGACATTCTCACCAAAGCAAACATGTTTGAGCTAAGAGCTGGTCGTCACCAACTAAGAGCATTCGGACGTCCGTTGCCGGCATAGTGTCAAGTCCTACACGCAGCTTGGTGTTCAATCGAGCTAAATTGTTGCCATTCAGCGTCCCATTCAGCCGTTTGAGCTGAGCCGGAAAACTCCAATCGAGGCACACTGGTTCGAGGTCAGGGATTGCGTTTTGATGTTGCGCTTTAGCTTACCGCGGAGAGAAAAATCAGGCATTCGAGCAGCTATGATATGACATTTAAAGTTCAATTGGGATAGTTGCCGAAGTCACCGAAAATTCTGATGCCAAAAGGTGCCATTTTCGTCTTTCTTCGTGACTTAATCTAGGGATTAAAACAATTTCGGACATAGTAAGCTGCTTTTGTAATGTTCACGAGCAGTCCACCGTCCACGTTTTGGCAAGTGCTTTGGACTCGATGGTCGAGAAGAGTTGATGCATCCGACACATTATATCTATGGTATTGTTGAGATTCATCATTATCATCACTTTCAACTAGTGAGACTGCCTGTACTCACACTTCATACTTGGACGGTCTGGTCGGAAGGACAAAACGCAATGCAGTGCTTACCAAAACATTTGGAGCTCATGCTTGTTCACTATGTTAGCGTGGGTGGCAATCAATCACATCCAGTTCGATGTCACTCAGTTAGTTTTCCGCACCACCCAGTCACGCTTAACACCGTTCAAACGCCACTTTACCCTAATAGTCACGCCTCATCACACCGTCACACCATCCATCACGTCACCCGTCACGACGTCACACGTCATCACGCCTTTCGACACGCAGCACTACCGTCGCTACCCCGACCACTACCGTCGCTACCTCGACCGCTACTGTCACTACCCCAGACACTACCGTCGCTACCTCAACCGCTACCGTCGTCACTCCGGCCACTATCGCTCAACTGCGCGTCGTCGCTCACGACGCTACCGTTTCTCTGACGTCACTGCCCGTCGGCGGCGGAGGCGGCGGTGACTCTGTGACACACAAACTGTGGGCTCTCACGGGTCTGGAGCCGACCCAGACCGCTTGCGGCCAGTGCGGAGGGTCTGCCGATGCGCCCATTTGGGTCACGGTAAGTGACCACTAATAGCTGCACCCACGCCGCGTTGTGTAGTACGGGTGCGGCAGGGAATGGGTGCAATGGGGTACACCAAAAACTAGATGCATGGGTCCATAAGGTGCAACAAAAACTGGAGCAGCAGAGCTGAGGTGTCCCGTTCAGCTGGTGGGTCGATTAAACGCTTCCTGTTGAAGTGGTTATAAACGAGTGTATAGCGACTTCGGTGAGCTGCTCTTTGGCGGTTGGCCATTATTTGCTGTTTAAACATTGTTTTCTAGCTACTCATAATAACTAGTGTATATGCACTTCTATAGTGTCAGCAACCAGTTGTTTGAACAATAACTTTGGGTAGTACGAGTTATCACGGGTGGAGAATGTTTGAAAAAGTTACCCCGGCCGGCGACCGAAAGTCAGAAAGACGATGATGCTCAAATATTTGTCAACGGTTATCAACAAACCCCTATTCTGTGGCATAAAATAATGGATGTCTGCCGTTTGTACGTTTTTAGGGAAAACTGCTGCACGCAGGTGCGGAAGATTTCGTAATTGTAACAGCAATTTTGCAACACGCCTTAAAATTTCGGACGCATGTCGCCTAGTGCTAGGTCAGGTCATCAGGTCAAATTTGCTGGATGATCGTGCTAAAAATGTCATCATGCCCTTTGCAAAGCTTATTCCGTGGAAGTTGCAACCTTCACACACAAAACAACTAATGTCAAATTTGACCGTGTTGACCCTCTTGTTGATTTGAGCTCGCACCTGATATATTATTCGCGACCGAGCCTTAAACGAGCATTCAAATGTTTTGTTTGCAGTGTTTAAGCTCCGTTATGTTCATGAACTGTGAGAAAAGTTGTCGGAGAACGCTAAAATCAGAGAAATTTGGCTTTTGAGGATCTATGGTGATTTTATTATTGAGCTTGCCTAAAACATGACCAGATTTCTCTGATCACATTTGTCGCTCTTTCAAACGTCGTTCCGCTTCTCGCCTCGTAGCCCAGTAGCCGAGTTAGAAGGAGCGTGAAAAGCCCACCTCTCGACTCATCGTGTTACGATAAGGCTGCTAAGGCACCACCCTGGCGCGGGTTAAGTTGGGGAGCCTTGAGCCCCAGCAGCTCGTCCTTCTATCTCACTGATATTACCCTCGTCCTGTCTTGTGATGTTATTACAGTGCCATCTTACGATAACGGCCCTTAAACATGATTTACTTCTGTTTGATGAAACATGTCGGGCTCCGCGATCAAAAGACTTAAAAACATAGAAGCTCCAAAATGAAAATAAAGTGAATTTTCAAGAACTTTTCAAGGTAGATAAGAATAATGAGAGACGCTTTCATAGATGACAGTTTTTTTCGTATGGAGACAGCTTTTAGGATTTACAAAAGTGGAAAAAGTTACCCCGGCCGCGCCGGGGTCGGCTGAAAGTTACCCCGGCCACGGCCGGGGTGGCCGGGGCAGGTTCTCCACCCATGCGAGTTATATGCAAGACAAATAAAATAATCATTGTATAAACGAAACCGTTTCGCCACAAATTGCGCATTACCTTCTATCTATCCTTCGTCAAATAAGAACAGGAAACAAGCGTACTTATATAACGATTGACGTCAACGTAAAATATTCCACCTCTCCGACCAATTGAGCAATAGGTTAGTATTCAGGTCGCCATCGTAACAATCACTCAGACACGACTATGTAGATTGACGCGGATGGGGATAAGCAGTAAGCACGCTACGAACGTTGCACAGACAATGCCATTGCTCAGTTGAAGGACAGAAAATGCGTCTTTCAGTGTCCTAAATGTGAGTAACACTAAAAATAGCACACAAAAAGGCATGGTTATGGGAGAATTTCCTACCGACATAAGTTCCTGGCAGTTAAGTTGTTCAGAGCAGTAAAACTGCGCTGGCTAATTTCCAGACAGGTGGTAGCAAAGTGGACAGGGACACGACCGTTATCTATCTAGCACACCACTTGGTGTTTGGTAAGTCAAATAATTTCAAAACTCGTAATGAAAAGCACGGTGCAAATGGCGAATTGCGCTGCCCAACTTTCCCTTGTCAGGTAACGAACACTTGTCAAATGTCGTGCAGAAAAGCAATCACAGTGCAAATAATTAATCATTGTTGAGCTGTGACCACTGTGCGCAGCCTATCATTCCTCCCCGCGTTAGTCTAAGCTTGGCTCGCCACGCGCCAGTGTTTGACTTACCGACTCTAGTTTCCTCCTTATCCCAGGCTGCCAGGGCGCACTCGAGCTGAAAAGAAAGAGGCCGGGGTTAGCAGAGCAACACAACACAACAGTCGGGTAAGCTCAGAAGCCGACACAGAAATCGTGACACACGGATCAGCTGAACAGAAGCTGTAATAAGAGATCAGCGGATGGCGGCTACAACAGGAGGATCAAGATCAGCGGATCAGAGAGGCGGTGTGGAGTGCTTGACCTGCCCGAGCTGCCTGCCACCTGGAGGCCGTCTGTGGAACTGATGGTTGTGTATCTCACCACTAGGGGCCAGAGCAGCGCTTCACTCGTGAGAAGTCCCGACCCACCAAGGAATCGAGAGTGAGACAGTAATAGTATTATAATCGATCTTTTAAGGCTGACCCATCAGATCACTGCTCAAGATCGGCACTGCAACTTCCAGACAACTGCTGAAGCCAGTTACCATGGGTATTTTTTCAACGGGTGGCCGTTTAAACGGATGGGTGGCCTGTCCCACCGAGGCGTGCTCGTCCTTACGGGATAGGGAGTGGGCACTGGGTATTGTCACTGCGGTGTGCCCCTCAGTAGCCGACTCAACCAAATGTTTCTATTTTTCCACTCAACCCACGGCCCACGGCCTCATTGGATTAGCATCCAACGACAAAAATACCCAAACAAACCAAGAACGCGCTCCACCAGCAAATTTTACTGGAGGAACAAGAGAGCAGAACATTTGGTATGACAAAGGTACTAGTAACAGCAATGGAAACTTCACATGACTCATGCCATTTGCAGGCGAGTTTATCCTAAGCATAAGTGGTTGCGTAGTGCGCACCGTATATTTTAAGCGTCCTAAAACCGATTTGAGGTCGTCTTATTTTTTAATCCTTTATCTAGCAGTAGTTGGTTGGATTTTACTAACTTTCTCTTCAAACTTAAATAGCGTTTAAGCATGCATGCTCTTTAGTACTACAGTGCCGACCCTAAGAGGATGGGACCAGAATTCATTCGACTTCAGATCCAGCTCAGCTGATGTAGGTACGAGTCACACATGCTGACATGCCGACATAGTTATCAGCAGTCAGAAATAACTCTAATGCGGGTGATGAGGTGAGACCACCGGTTAGCGAATGAGAGACATCGGACAGATCGCTCAGCGACGTGCCATAATTGCTACAGTAGCATGAAATAGTTATGGGTGGCGGGTGCGGCCGCGGGGAGTCCTAAATGACAGATAGGTAGGGATAACATATCTTGGAGCAGTACTGTTAATAAAATATTTCCATTAAAGACACTTAAAATTTGCAATTTGGATTACGGATAACACAGCTAAAAGCGGCTTAATTTCTTGTGACAATTATATCACGAATGATGTTCGAGCCAAAGTAACACATACCAGTAAAAAGTTCATGTTCATGATGTTGCGATGGAGATTCCACTTAGGTACGGGATCATTTATATTCCGGAATACGGTCTGCCTGGTCATGGCAATAGGTTGCATCCTGCATAGTGTATGATAATTAATAACATAACTCGGATGTGCCGGCAGCTCGTTAACCCGGCCCCGGGAGCCTAATGGAAATGCTGCTGTGAGGGTCTCGCACGCTGCCAACAGGCTCAATTACTGCATGTTCATTGATCACACCTCCACTAATTACAGAGCAACGAGCGGCATCACTCTGTCCACGCCAAGCGGGGTTCCGTTGATCAGTAGCCTACAACTTCGTGCCAGAGTTAACCTCATGTAAGGGCTGGTATAACCGCTAATTATAAACGTAAATCAGTGCGTATATTTGTGTGGGTACACTTCAACAGCGCACACATCAGCCGGGGATTAAGATAGCACAGTTACCGGCGTATGTGTGCGATCACGTTCCGTCGCCTGCTAATCCCTCTAACACGACGCGACTTTATCAGCGCAGTTTTACAGTCCAGACTCTCAGAACCGGCATATAACCACGGTCGCCACAATTTGCTGACGTGGGCGGCGCCTTAAAGGGACCCTCCCACCTTAACATTAGATTTGAGTTAAGATAGCCAAAATGGGGTCCCTGGCTCACAATTACCGGTTTCGGCACTCACAACATCGAGAAATGCCTTAAATCGGAAATATTGAATTTCAAAATTGCAGCATTTTGATTCAGAGGGGCTAATGCTTAGGAATACCCTCTGAATGTGTGACGTCAGTGCAAATATCTAACGATTTTTAAATGTTTGACTAAAACGTTTTGTAGCACGCGGTGGTATATGCTATTTGCGCGCAACATCTGCCGCAAACGCCGCACTTCTAAAATAAAGTCGCTAGAAACAGCGGAGATCCCAAAAAAGTAAACAAAAGTAAAAGTCTAATATCTTGAAAACCGGTGAATATTTTTCGGTGAAATTTGGTAGATATGCGTTTTAGCTCTTTCTGAACCGAGCGACATCACTTTCATGCCAATTCATAAACTTTTTTGAAGGTGGGAGGGTCCCTTTAAACCCAGCCTGGAAGCATCAAACCGTAAATGAGCGACGCATTTGTATCTTATCTGATGTCAGCCTGCTCCTGGGTCGTTTACTGTACCCCACACTATTTGATCAGAGTTTAACGCTGCTATGTCATGTGATGGTGATACATAATGGATGAACGTGTGGGCAGTGGTGCCGAGTGTCAATGCCAATGTCAGAAGAGGATAAAACGTCCGACCTGGCTCCCGGGACGAAATTAGCCCGCCGTGGAGTGACCCATTCCAACAAACATAGCAGGGCAGACGCGGCGCTCCAGCCGGAAAACAGCACAAACAGACACAAACACACAGAGGCACTGGAAATAGACCAACTGGAACGCTGGGGCTAGGCCGAAGGTAATTTTAGCGCTGATTCACCACTGCGTTCTCGAGCCCAAGACCTATTTCTCGGCTCAGCGCTGTGACGTTAAACGGGAAAACTCAGCACGCTCATCTTGAAAATATGGATGCTCGGTGATCGTCTGTATGCACCCTCACAGCCAACAAAATATTGGACGTTTCTCTCACAATGCAGCCGCCGTATCGCGGCTGATCTGCATCCGTAAACAGCTCTGCCGCAGAATCGCGCCGTAAATCGTGTTTCTCATTTCGCTCCCGAGAAGCTCCACATTATTCCGATATGAGCCGCAGCAGACCTTCAGATTGCCACTGACCGTCACCTTGACCTCAGAAGGTCAACAGGTCCTCCCGCAGTTATATAAATCCCCGAACACATCTCTGCCTCCTCGATCTGTCCAGCCCGCACCGCACTTCATTTGTAACTCGTAAGCATCTCATCTCCTTTTACCACACAAATCCGGGCATAATGAGCGACAAAACGTGCAGTAAAAACCTGACAAACAGCGACTTGCACGGACTACGCGTGCGCACGCCCATTCACATCAGCGTAGCACTACACTGCACTGCACTGCACTGCACTGCACTGCAACTGTTCTGATCAGCACTAGCGATCTAGGGCTCAGACTTCAGCCTGAAATCAGTGGCGGGTTCCATCGCTCGTTTGACAGCACTGTTACAAACGAGATGACAGGCTTGAGGAGCGGATATCGTCAAATCAGAATCGCACTGAACTTTCTGCATGTTAGTCTTCTGAACTAGGGACGGAGTATAGTTCTTAAGTATTACACCTACCCTGCTTGGTGTGCAGTGCAGTGTGCATCGTCTACTGTCCATAGATGGTTCCCTTCCATCGCGCTAGACCATAAACGGATATCAAGAGTGAGAGAGGCAGACGGGGGAGGGAGGGGACATAACAGGCAGAAGTGGTACTTCCTGGACCATCCCCCACCCTCTACCCTCCTCCCGCCGCCTGTCACTGCCGATAGAGACGTCAAAGCCTGGCTGGGGATGGGAGGGGGAGGGGCGCCGGTGGCGGACAATTAGCGCCTTTTGTCGGCGTCCAGTGGCGTGCAGCCGAGAGCCGAGTCGTGCAGAGGCGGCGCACCTCGGCCGCTCGCCGTGCACGGCACCTCAGCAGGCCCCCTTACTCCCCGCCGCCTCAATGAGCAGCTATGCGGAGGTGACTGCGGTCTTTGCCTTCGCCGCAGTCAATCGCCGTTGTGGTTGATGGTGACTATGTAAAACTGCGGCTGACAGAACGAACTAACGAGTCACCTCAGCACTCGACGGCGACCAAACAACGGCGATGTCCCCAGTTACGAAATTCTTTATCGGGAACTGGCCTTCACATTGTCTAGATTCGGCTCAGTCCTGGTCTCGGCTCACGTTACTGGATCTAACAAGCCACGACCGCGCGTCGAGTCAAGGCTGTGACCGTTTACTCCGAACACGAGACAGCCTTTATCCGGGCCGATACTCGAGTTACTTAAAAGCGGCCTTTTATCCGCCGGCTCGTTCCGTCATTGTCACGGGGGCGGCCGTGACCGCGATAATCCCCGCCGAGCGGCACGGTACAGGGTTCAGTTCGGTCCAGTCGGGCTCTGGACGGCGTCACGCCCTCGCGAGAGGTCTTCTCTCTCGCGCCCCGCCCTAGAGAGGCCTCGTCCCTTGCGCCGCGCCCTGACTAGAAGTCTTCTGTCTCGCGCCCCGCCCTCGCGAAGGGGCTCTCAGCGAAAGGTCTCTCCTATTGCGCTCTGTCCCGCGAGAGGTCTCTTCTTTTGCGCTCTGTCACGCGCGGGTCCCTTCATTGGGCTCTGCCCTCGATAGAATCCTCTTCTCTGACATCACGCCCCTTGCTTCGGTTATCACCTCTTAGTGCGAAGCCCCTTCTTCGGCACCACATCTCATGGAAATGCAAACTTCGCTGGAATAAACACTGACCGGAAATGGGGTACAAACAACGGGAGACGTCACATAACTGATGCACTCCGAGTTCAAACTTTCCGACTTTACTTATATAACTCATGGATCAGTGACGATGTGAACGTCACGATGTTGACGCCGCCAACACTGTTGATACACCACTGACAACGGTGACACCAGGTACAATGTAAGGGCAGCTCGGCGCCGCGCCATTGTTGACTCTGTTGGTGGCATCACCATGACACCATCGCACACACGCGCATACATTAACGGGTCGCAGTCGCCTCTAGGAACGTGTCCGTTCGCCATTGTCCTCTGTCCTAACAGAGTGCTCGCCGGCCGCCGACGGAGGTGGACATTCGTCTTCACTCGTCCCCCGCCCCGGTGCCCCGGGGACGGCCTCTCCACCTCCCCACAAACACCTTCACCGATGTCCAACACAGCGGCACCCCTCCCACAGGCCCCAACCGTAACCATCTGGTCCCTCTAACTCGACCTTGGCAGGCGGTGGCCGGTCCTTCAGATGACATTTAAACGGTCTGGCAGCCTTATGCAGCCGGCGCTGCCCACCCGTAACAGGTCAGGCAGATGGCCGACGAGTTTGTGCCAGCTTACAACACCCCGTGCGCGGCACCGTTCAATCTCAGCTGGCGAAACGAGCGGCACTCGCCAGCGTGCAGACTGCAGACCTGCTGAATCTCATCTCAACGATATTCAGTTCCCGGGAAGTGCAAATCTCCGACAGGTTCGCTGCAATGTCGATATACGGCTGACAGAATCACTTCAGTCAGCGTCAGATTGTGGCCTTGTGCATGCGAGTGCAGCCTTCAGCTTCGTCCCCATGGTCACTCATCTGCGTTTCACAACAAAGCCACCCAGGCAGATTCACTCGAGTCATGTACTGACCCGAGACGACGGGACACAGCTTCTGGCTTCTGCATACGTGAAGGATCGTGGGTGACACAGATCACTCAACCAAAACAATGGCAAGCTGTAAATAATGATCACCAGTCAGATCCCAAGTGACTCGTGGCAGACTGTCACGGATGTACTAGCAGCCCCGTGACACGACAGCGGGTTTCAGCTGTGTCGCCAGCCCACGGCTCAGCTCCACAATGTGACGCCTCGGTGACTAGCAACAGCACAAGCCACTCCCGGCGACAGCATAGACCCGACAGCAGAACGTCACCTGAATGTGGCCCCGACTGACCACCTTGACCGCTCCGCAGCGACCGGCAGGGTCACCGCCACTAATTTATAACATCCGCGTGCCCGTTTATAGCTCTTGGGGAAGCAGCAAGGCCGTGAGTAAGCATTCAGCGATTTCCAGCCACGGCGTCAACGATGGCATGTCTTCGTCAGATGTCCCTCGAAAGGTGCCACTCTATGTTGCATGACAAATGTGAGCGATGCATCGGGTGGATTGACGTCAAGAGGCTCACTGCCGGGCGGGGTTGTTGTCAAGAGGCGGGGATGCTGTCAAGAGGTCGGTCGGGACACGTCGTCTGTTATGTTGGACAAGCGGCAACGAGTGAAGATCGCACGCCTTTTCCAGGAGCCTCCCACCAGAATATGCAGTGGTTTCTCGGAGATTTGTGATGCTGAGACGGAATTTACTGCGACTTCAGAGACTCGGCCTCGGGCGTGTCCTCGTCAAGGCGAGGACGAGTGGTGCTACCGAGGCTGCAGTACACGGCTGCAAACGCTCGGCCACAGTAGTGACTCGACATAACGTCTACTCAGCCACTAAACTGTCTTCTGAGTGTTATCAGAAATCAGCCGAGACAACTATTACGGCATGGCAGCATGTATGTGTGACAGGCAGATCCTAATTAGATAGGGCAAATGTAAATAGACGGTGAGATAACGCCTTAGAATTGATGGTCATCCGCACGCAAACATGAGACCGTTTAATGAGATGAATTAGCCACCACTAATCTCTGGCTACTGCCGGGTCCATTACTTCCACCCTTACAATTAGTCCGTCGCCGAGGGCGCGGCAATTTTAGCACAAACACCCGCCACAACGCAAAGGGGTAGGTTTTGCGCGTGCGAGCGTTTAAAGCCCACAACAGCGCCGCGGCGCTCGAAGCCGGGCCGACTCCGCGATGCACTCTGGCCGCAAAGTGGCCTCCGTCAGGCTAGTCATCGTCGCTTTAGCAATGCTGACTGGCCACTCATGTGCCGGACGGTAATCACAGTGCACGGCGAGCTACTGAGGCCGGCCGCGCGGCGCACCCGGCCGGCCGGCGCCGTGAGTTATACCCGGGTCCGGAGTCGAGGTCGGGGAGTCGGTATGACGGAGAATCTGTACCGCAGTGGACTCGGTGCGGCGTGACTCTGATATAATGACAGGTATGTGTGGTAGAAATGATGGAAGTGAGACGCCGTAAGTGTAGACACCGTTAGACACAACACTAGCCACAACATGCCATTGTGGTCGTGCCCGGTGCTAAAGTAATGTCCTGACGGAGACGTCACTATTCATCACTGAGATATCTTAGAATTGCAGCAGTTAGGCCACGTCATCTTGCCACGATCTTGTCACCAACCCATCTAGGCCCACCAAAACATCTCTTCTCAGGCTGGCAGCTCATTCGTTCTCAGTATTGCTGCTGTCACTTGTACTATGGTCTCGCTTTCATACCATCCGATTTATAGGCAAGTTCAGAGGATATAATTGTAGCGAGATCCGTCTTCGGTCTCATCACTTGCTTTTACTGGTCTCTGCCATCTTACTGCATCATCATTCTTTAAATTTTCCTGCCAAGTCACACTATTCTACGCATTTTGTGAAAATTGATGCGCTGCGGCCGGGTTTAGAAAATTGTTGAAGAGGGCACCGGAAGGATCATTCTCCCTGAGCCTCACAGCCATGATAGCTATTTCTCATATACCATCATCACCCCTCAGTTCGTTAAACGGCAGCCAGCAGCAGCAGTCAACAGTATTCATTCCACCGGATCAGTCTAATACACCTGTTACCCAGAGTTCTTGTTCATCAGCTTTTCACACACTATTCGCTAGAACTGTTGTTTTAGCATTCTACGTGAGTAAAAGTTGCTTGAACTCATATCAAAAGCAGCGTTTACCGGGCAGACTCTCCCCCGCATTGCATCAGCCCTTCTCGATGTCTGTCGCCACAGTACGAAGGGACCAATGAGTCAGGTAGAAGTCCGAGACGTCCCACGGTTCATTTATACTATCAGCGTCATAACCAGACCAGACTGTCAACATTCGTCATAATGGAGAATAATAAGCGAACCTCAAAGCTAGGTCATCAACAACACAGAAAACTGTAAATAAACAGGTCACAGAACTCACTGTCCAGCAAAACATCTTCTCTAACTTCTGTCATTCTTATATCTCATGCTATCTTTCATCATGACGCACAGGACCAAATCACAGCCGTGTAAATTCGCCTCACCTTGTTGACGAGCATGGCGCTGACGGAGCAGACGGGCTGTATGCCGGTGAAAAGCTGCCGGTGCTCCTCGGCACTGATGGAGCTCAGTTTTCGCAGCGGGGTGCCGTAGATCTGCTCCACGGCTCTCACTGAGGTGAGATAGCGCCGCTCGGCAGCCAGCAGCGTCTCGGTGAGACGGTACCGGGCGTCCCCCTCTGCAAAAAAAAAGAGAGACAGGGGGTCAGAAGGGACGACAAGGCGAGAGATTTCTCTGGAAAGAGAGATGGAGAGAGAGAGAGAGAGAGAGAGAGAGAGAGAGAGAGAGAGAGAGAGAGAGAGAGACAGACAGACAGACAGACAGAGGGAGACAGAGAGAGACAGAAAGAGAGAGAGAGAAGGGTCAAATGGAGAGACAAGGAGGGAGACTCATCTGCAAAATGGAAAAAGGAATCAGATATGGAGACAAAGTTGCAGGCCCTTGTGCAATAATGGGGAGCAGGATCAGACGCTGTTGGGTGTTTCCGTGTAACAACAGGGAATCCGGAATATGGGTCAGACCAAGAAGAAGGGATGAGTCATGTGAGGAAGGAAATAATGACCTCCACTTATGCAATAAGGAAAACAGGGGTGGGGCGACGGGTGCTCTATATAACAGCATGGAAGACGGGTAGATGGTGAAGAGCGTGCTATCTGTGCTAAAGAGGACAGAAGAGAAGGGAAGAGGCAGGAGACCGAGCTGATGGACGGAGAGAGAGAGAGAGAGAGAGAGAGAGAGAGAGAGAGAGAGAGAGAGAGAGAGAGAGAGACGAGATAGGGAGATGAAAAGATTTCGACCAGGCATAAAACAGATGCTGTATGTGTCGTCGGTGCAAGACGTTACAAGATAACAAACACATGGTGATTAATTTCGATGGGTAGTAGACAGTTGTTTGATCCGTATCTGACAAGCCAATCATGTCTGATGTCATCACATTTGCTAGCCCCTACGCGCCACGCGACATCCAACACTTTCACTGAACGCGATTTTCTGTCCAACATCGTCAATCAGGCACCATCGGATGAGGCGGCCCAGCCCTGAAAAGCCGCCTGCCCTGTCCCGCCAGTCAGACCCATTGTTACTGGGTCCACTCGGTCATCGGCCTATTGGGCTCCTGGGACACGCGGCGGCCCGCCCGACTGACCCCTAGCCGCGGGATGCCTCACTCGCACAAAACGGATGCGCTGTGGGCTCACTCTTAATCAGGCCTGCAGTCGAGAGAGAAAACGTGACCACCGTGGCCTCTGCTTTGATCAGAGTGGACGTGTGGGATGCACCCGGTCGGTAAAAGTTCACCGAAATCCCCCGGCGGTCGGTGCTGAGTCACTGAGCTCAGACCGCCCAAAAAGTCAACAGGCTGACATTGGCGAGCGTCGTGTTCGTCTCTGAGCACTTCAGCGCGCCAGGATCGCCTCTGAAGCGCCGCACCGCCTCTGGTTGCGCTAACCGCCCCCGTTCGACTCAGTTTCAACCAGCCCAAGGCAGCGCAACGCCCAATGACGACTGGGATTGTCATTAATTGGTGGAGAAGAGTCTCTTTCACCAATACATTACGAATGCACCGAAAATGAACTGACCGACCATTATAACGTGACGAATGAAAGGCCCAAGATCAGCCAGAAGAACTCTGCGTCAGGCGGATCCTTGTTGGCTTCTGCGCCGCACGAAAGTGAAAGTGCGGCGAATGGTGCGCAAACGGGCGCCAGTTACGCCTCCGCGCGATGATGCGCCAGATGAGGGCTCATTGATTGACTGGCAGAAGGACGCAGAGGCGGACAGGAGGGCACTGTTTACGTCGTAGAGCGACGGTAAATGTTACGCCGAATCAGCCAGCCACGATGACGACTATCATTGGTCGGCAAGGTCCCTTCCTGTGACCTGCAGCGAATAAATGTCTGGGAATAGATACTTGGTAGCGAATGGCTGCTCAATACGTCTTTGGCAACCATAAATAATATTGCTGACCACAATTTTACGTCCGCAAGAACGTAGACTGATGGGAATGTTGCGGCGGTATGACGAAAATTACCCTTAGTTTGACACTCAAGCATGGATTTACATCACGGAACCATGATTGGTGGGCGGTTCTGATCATAGAGTAGCCACGTTGCGTCAATACGACGGTGGGACATTAAGTTATGATGGAAACCCACACCACTACATGTTTCTGAATGACCAGAACAGCCCAGGTCAAGCTTCTACTCAACGCCGGCTAGCCCGCGGTCATCTCAGTCATCACAGGTCAGCGCAGGTCACCATGGCCAGCGTGGGTCATCGCCGCCTATCGCCAGGTCATCGTGAGGTCACCGATGGGTCGACACGGGTCACCGGTGGGTCGGGTTGTCCGGAGACTTCCGCGGTGCGGCCCGCCTAGTTATCAGTCTCCGACTCGCCGTCCGCGATTGTCCGTCGGTAGGCTAATCGGAAAATTGTCCGGCCATTAGTGGTCGGGTCGGGCCGCAGTTCGCCCCGCTACACGTAATTGCCGGTCACCGGACTGCCGCCGGTCATGTCATCGGTGGGACCAGGGCTGGGGTCTGAGATGGGAGCCAGGAGACTAGATCTGGATGAGGAGAAATTGCAGAGACAATAAAAGGGAAGCCATGGGATACACACACAGCTGTACACGATTGAAAATAGTCAAACTCTCCATTATCAATACCTGGATAGTGGATAGCCACCACGCAAGTCGCGAGCGGCAAAGACCTCCATCCCAGGTAGGCACTCGTAATGTAAGTATAACACCCCTGCGCACAGCAGCGGTGGCTGGGAACCCGTCCATCAGCGAGCCATTACCGCCGGTTACCGATTAGGGACGCCTCCGCTTAGCCGGGCCACCGAACTGAGTTCAGAAGGCAGCGTGGAGGTGCCGTGGCGAGCGGTAGCCCGGAGAGCCAGGTCGGTGGTGGTTTGAGGATAGTGGTGGGGGAGGGGGACAACCAGACGTGGTTATTAAATGGAGAGGAGAGTGAAGAAGAAAAAGAAGAGAGAGAGAGAGAGAGAGAGAGAGAGAGAGAGAGAGAGAGAGAGAGAGAGAGAAAGAGAGAGAGAGAGAGAGTAGATATTTGGATGTAGCAGCATCAATAGAACCTTAACTGATGCTTAACAACACTAAGGTTTTTAAGTTTTAACATTAGTGCATTCCACGAATGTAAGTAACCATGTGCGTTGAAATGAAGCTCGATCGACACCAGTAAAGATTGGTTGCGACTTGTGGGATACCCGTCATCAGAACACCTGTCAATTGAAGAGGAACAGACGAATAGGCGTGCTGTAATTGAAGGGACAAAGACCAAAGAAACAATGGGAGGGATGATACTCGACTGTGATGGGAGGACCGTGGGTCCGTGGTGGGAGGACCGTGGGTCCGTGGTGGGAGACCCGGGCGGGCTCGGACCGAGCGGTCAGTGGGCGGACATGTGGGAGGGGATGGGGGAGGACAGGACAGACAGCAGAGCGGGTCGACTGCAGCGCAGCGACTGACTCATGGCACATGACGGGTTTAACGGTCCGCTTGGGTTAAATTGCCGCTGACCCGAGGCACTCTGGATTCGGTTAACTGCCAATAGATGACATGGGGTCGCCCAAAACGGGCAATAACAATTCTGTGTGAGTTACTAGTGAGTCGAGGATTTGAGTTTGATTATTTTTGTGCTTCTGTTTTTAATAAAAAGCCGTGAACGACGGCCTTGCAGCAGTGCTATACCTAAACCTATGCTCGCATGACGACGGAAGCGGCGGCCTCACGGAATAACACATCTCTTTCCAAGTATGACGTAGGATGCAAGGACAAATCAACGAGGAAAAATGCCTGCCTCGTTGTGGAGACCGGATGCAACACGAGGAATTTGGTATGTACCTATTTGGTACTTGACTATACATAAGAACGAATGGCAGGGGACTAAGAAACTATCTTCGGTAACGTATTCCAGAGAAGCCGTAGGCTATTCGCACCGTTCCGAATTATGACAATACTAATGCATATGTAACAGTGCTGTATAACGAAACAAATTCATTGCAAACATACTGCAGCACATAGATCATGCACCGTGTTAATATATGCATGGTGTCATAACGAAGATGAAGCATTGGACTATTTAAATAACAAATGTGCCATGAAGATGGTGTTATTACGCATCACTAAAAAGAGTAATGTCTTACCACCAGTTTCTTCACACATAAACGATGCCCTTCATGAGCTCGCTCGCAAATTTCGATAACAAATAAAAGTTAAGGAAACATAGAGACTTTAATTGCATGTGCCTGCCCGACTTCTTTTATATGTTTAAACGCTACAATATTAGCCTTTTTTTCGAAGAAACATGCTATCCATCATAGTTTTAGTAATCAAGAAAGGAATCATCTCTACAAGGACGTATATCATCCTCTTAACGACAAAGCACTGCGTAGTTGAGCATAAGTCTGACCTGCAACTCGTGTAATCCTCCTAAGACACATCCACGTGAATGTGATATCACGTAATCGGCATGCCACCATCTCATGACATCGGCCCTATTTACACATTGGATACCGGTTCATCACAGAACAGCCAGCGACTTAGTGCGATCCGAGCATGCACAACACATACCGCCCATGAGTTTCGGACGAGCCCCGTTCCGTGCCTGTTGCTAGGAGAGAGATAGTGCGAACTCTCGTGAGTTGCAGCCCCGTGATCAGTGCTGTTGAGCGGGACGGATGAAGGGCTGAGGCATGCGGGGGAAAAGTAGAGCGAGAAAGGATAGCAAACCACCCCCTCCCCGGGTTTATTGGTCGGGTGTGAGCCTGCCCAACTCATGGTGTTGAGTTAGGCGGGTGGGTATAACGTTAGCTATGTATAATGCATACGAAATGGTTCAAACTAGGCGGTCAGATAATTTTGGAAGAACTACAGATTTGAGTTGAATCTTCTCCATTGCATGCATATTAAACAGTGATATTTTTGTAATAAGATGTTTGACGCTGCACGCAAGCTGCTGTCCAGAAGGACCCATTCTACATCTTCGTATCAACGGAGGTTCGAACAGACGCTCCATCACAGCATCAAACCTCGTCTGCAGCTAATAACTAATCATGAAGCCCGGAGAACAGCCTCTCATCTCTCGTGGGAGCACAGACCACACCGCGAGGCATGCGGAGCCTACATTTCACCGTTAGTTGTATACAGCTATAATCGGCTTA